CGAAGATGGACTATCGGATAATATTGACCTTTCTTTGCTTTATAAGCAGTATGTCGATGACATTCTAATATTCACCGATTTTGATCATTTTATCACTCTTTTACATCAATTTAATTCCACTCATCGAAATCTCCATGTTACTCATGAACAAGAGCTTAAAAACTCACTGTCATTCTTAGACGTCATTATTTCTAGGCGTTTAGACGGCACACTTATTAGGTCTGTTTATCGAAAAGCCACATGGAGTGGGCAGTACCTACAATCCCCTTCATTTGCGCCCGTGGCTTACAAAAGTAGTTTAGTGCGAACAACTTTTCACCGAGCTTGGAAAGTATGCACAGCCGGCCATCTGAAGTTTGAATAGGAGTTCGTGAAGAGTGTTCTACTTGCGAATGGATATCCGGTCAAATTTATTGAAATTTATTGCAAGGAACGAGTGGCTTCTCCCCAACCACACTCAGTGCCGAAGAAGCAGGTTCGTATCACCCTTCCTTACACAGGTGACCACAATATCACCGATGTAAGTCGAAAGTTGAAGTCAGCCACTGGTCGCACATATCCAGCAGCGGAAATGCGGTTGTAGCTTTCCACCCTCAGCATGAGTCTCTACTGCCTCCATCGTTCTTCCTCGGAAAACTCTGTCTCTCATGTTATTTGCAGTGACTCATACATTGGCAGGACGGACAGAAACTTACGACAAAGGAAGGCTAGTGCAAGCAATGACTCAATGCGGGTCAGTATGCCAACACTCGAACAGAAATCCGGCGTCTTCGATCGCGAAACACTTAATCGCAACAGGTCATGTGGTTGACCCTGTCACTTCGTTCATGGTTCTATTGCGTAACCGCAACCCCAGGCTGTTGGCGTTCTCAGAGGCATTGTTGATCAAGCGTCACGCACCGGATCTTTGTTGGTAAAAGATGCTGACGCAATCAATTTCCTTACCGTGGCAGTGAACCCTGATTGCTCCCATGTGATGTTCGTTCATTTCATTGTTTTTTCGCTAAGCGCTTAATCTATATAACTGAATAATCAGGCTGCATAAACAAGAAAAGGTAGAAAGTCGCTGTTCTCGAGTAGCACACTAGATTCACGTCGACTATCGTGTAACTTGGAGGCTTACAATGAACAAGCGTTGAGGAGTTAGGTCAAACTAAACAGGGGCAAATAAGAAGGCTCACACACTTGTTCCATAACTGTAGGTTGGTGGTGAGGGATGTTATCATTAGGCTATCATGATAGCGTGAGTATATCAACGTCCTTTGATCACATGTTCGTCATCAATACAAACAGCAACAACACATCAGTGATTCACAATGATGCTTATCCATATACACCTCGGTTTAGAAGTGAAACAGAGGATAGTGAAGAGAAATCGCGTCCAACAAGAACCTCGTGGGTGAACTAAAAAATTTAACATCAAGATGCCCCTAATGTGTCATTCGTCGCGAGGACCGTAGCAATCCAATCCACAGTTTATCCTTATCAATTTAATTGTGCACACTCCGTTCTAAAACAACTCGTCTGCAGCGGTAGTTTCATATGGCGCCCATCTACTTGGGCCTGTCACAACGAGACTGAACCTTGATGCGGTGTGACGGCTTGCACATCTCAATGACCTATTGGGCTAAACTGGACGGTGTGGCCA